GGTAGTAATGACATCTTAACTATATTTATTCTTCCTATCCATGAGCATGGAATGTTTTTCCATTTCTTTGTGTCTTCTTCAATTTCCTTCATAAATTTTCTATAGTTTTCATCATACAGATCTCCTATATGTTTGGTTAGGTTTATTCCTAGGTATTTTATGGTTTTTTGTGCAATTGTGAATGGGATCAGCTTCTTGATTTCTCTTTCTGTTGCTTCATTGTTGGTGTATAAGAATGCAACCGATTTCTGTACGTTGATTTTGTACCCTGCAACTTGGCTGAATTCTTGGATCAGTTCTAGCAGGTGTCTGGTGGAGTCTGCTGGGTTTTCTGTGTAGAGTATCATGTCATCTGCGAAGAGTGAAAGTTTGACTTCCTCTTTGCCAATTCTGATGCCTTTGATTTCCTTTTGTTGTCTGATGGCTGATGCTAGGACTTCCAGCACTATGTTAAACAACGGTGGTGAGAGTGGACATCCCTGTCGTGTTCCTGATCTCAGGGGGAAAGCTCTCAGTTTTTCCCCATTGAGGATGATGGTAGCTGAGGGCTCCTCATAGATGGCTTTTGTGATGTTTAAGTAAGTTCCTTCTATCCCGACTTTCTCGAGGGTCTTTATTAAGAATTTTGTATTTTGTCAAATGTTTTTTTATGCATCTATCGACAAGAACATATGGTTTTTATCTTTTCTTTTGTTGATGTGATGGATCACATTGATTGATTTGCGAATATTGAACCAGCCCTGTAACCCAGTAATGAATCCCACTTGATCTTGGTGGATAATTCTTTTTATGTGCTGTTGAATTTGACTTGCAAGTATCTTGTTGAGGATTTTTGCATCTGTATTCATCAAGGATATTGGCCTGTAGTTCTCTTTTTTTGCTGGGTCTTTGTCTGGCTTGGGAATCAAAGTGATGCTGGCTTCATAAAATGAGTCTGGAAATTTTCCTTTGATTTCTATGTTTTGGAATAGTTTGAGAAGAACGGGTATTAATTGTTTTAAATGTCTGGTAGAATTCCCCAGGGAAGCCATCTGGCCCAGGGCTCTTATTTGTTAGGAGAATTTTGATTACTGATTCGATTTCCTCACTAGTTATGGGTCTGTAATGTTCTTGTTTTTAAAGAACATTGTGACTTCTGATTTTCTTCTCTGTTTCTAGGGTGGCACAGGTAGGAGTGTTCTCCATCGCTACAGCACTGAGTCTCTTTGGCAAAGCGAAAGTGACCAGCCTGGGCCCAGATGTCTGGGCCTTTCTTATATAACTGGGCTACAAGTTGTTCCTGGCTCCCGTGTGGGTTATCTGAGACTTGGGGTGGGGGTGGAAGCAGCAGTGTGTAAGAAGTAGGGTTGAAGACTCTGAAAGGCAAAACTAAAGCAGCTTATTACTTGGCATGGGTTCCACCCAGACTTCCTCTCCTACCTCGGCTCCTCAGCTCCAGGCTCTGCAGATGGCAGGCCTCACCCACCCATCGTGTCCCAGGCCAGGGACACATCTAAGAGAAGGGGTGATAGGAGAGTCTGGGAGAAGGGTCCTGGAGGACAGAGTTCTGGAGCTGCCTCAGAGCTCCTGTTCTGTGCCTCTTTGAGGGAAAATTGGAGAGGAGGAGAACTTGGGCCCTCGGGGGACTTCTGCTGACGAAGAAATCAGCGGGAATTCTAACTCAATGCACTCCTTTGGCCTAGACTGAGCAGAATATGAAATCTGGGAGGAAAGGACTTACCTGTGCTAACTGGCAAGAATGTATGTCCAAATAAGGGGTATTTTTATAGTTCCTGCATGGTATTATTTGGAATATTTCTATGATGTTAGGGAAAATAAATAAATCTGTATGTGCAAACTCTTCCAGTGAGCTATATTGGACAGTGGGGTGATGGGATTTGAGAAACAGGACAGGGAGTAAATTTTAGCCGAGGGTACAGTATTTCTTTAGAGTTACTTTTGATAGGTCACGATGGGACACTCAGTAGAGCTTTCTGGGGACAACAGCTAGCTTACCCTTTCCCCGGGTCCCAGGAAGAAATACAAGGAGTGTTAGATATGGGACCTTCTATAAATGGGAACTTCAAAGAGTCATACCTCTCATGGTGAGGCACTGGCCTCAGGTGCAAAACTTAAGGGTGCCCAAACACTCAGATAAATAACATTCGAATGCAATATTTAAAATATCAATGGCAAACTTCGACCTGTGAGCTGAGAGGTGGGAGCTGCTTTTTTTTAATAAATAAAATTTATTGGATCCGGGCCGGGATGGTGGTGAGATGAGCGGAGGCAGGTTATGCAAGTGGAGGGACAGATCTTACCTTTATTTAAAATGTTGTTATTTTAGGGACACCTGGGTGGCTCAGTCAGTTGAGCATCTGACTTTGGCTTAGGTCATGATCTCACAGTACATGGGTTTGAGCCCCGTGTCGGGCTCTGTGCTGACAGCTCAGAGTCTGGAGCCTGCTTTGGATTCTGTGTCTCCCTCTCTTTCGCCCTCCCCTGCTCACTCTCTGTTTCTCTCTCTCTCTCAAAAATAAGTAGTAAAATAAAGGTTGATATTTTATTCACCATAGATTTTGGGGCATTAATTTAAAATTTTTAAATAGTGCATTAAACTATTATTTATCGTACTACATTTTCTTGGCATCTTCTCAAATTTTGAGCATTAGAACCTCACACTAATCTCGGCACTGTCTCCAGATGACCTTGGTTTTGGTTGTTAAGTCAGATGTCTAGGGAGAAGGACGCGTTGATCAGCATGAGGGGGAAGGAGAAATTTCTTTCTCTGGCTCCTACCTTTACCAACAGTCATTCTCTATTGAGGAAGTGCAGCCTCTTTCACCACGTATTACTCAGTCCTCCCCAAGGGAGCAAGAGTAGCTAAATGATTCATGAGAGGGAGCCTATTGCATAATGCTTTATTAGAGTTATTTCGAGGGTCAACGTTCGACTCTGTTTGCTGCTTGCTGGTAATAGGGGCTTTCTGTTCCTATCTATAGACACAATTGGGACTGCTCAGGACCTGCTGTAGTAATCTTTGGTATCCTGTTTCGCTGGTTCTTGGATGTGTGGGAGGTAACCTGTGGACATTCTTACAGGAATTGGGTGAGAGAGCTAGCATGTGCTCTGCAGATCTACTTTCTCCTGGGGACATAGGTCACGATTTGGGATGAGAGGTAGGAGGCCTGACTGTTCCCTTCAATCAGCTCTATTGAGAGTCAGTGTAAACTGTGTCTCTTGCTCTTTATGTGGGTTTGTCATTCTGTATCTGTTCTTTCTCAGTTAGAGCCTGGAAGGGAAGAAGGGGTGAGTGATTGGCACCTGAAACCTCCAAGCTTCACAAACCTTGAAACGTGCAGACTGGCTGATGTACCCTCTCCGTTTCCTGGAATTCATCTTAAAGACTGAGGATGTGCTAAAGATTTCAGGACGATCATTGATGCTGTTGTTTAGAATAGAGAAAGCTTGGAAGTCATTGGGTGTTTTAACAATAGGCAGTTGGTTATATAAATTGTCCATTCCTACTATATACCGTTAAAAATGAGAGAAGCATATATATTGAAATGAAGTGATGCTCTTAACATACTGGTAAGTGATAAGGGAAAAATTACAAAATAGTATGTGTGTTTTTAAATCCAAAAGGTCACCTTTGCATTAAGAAGTAGATAAAAACAATTACCAAAATATTGTCACTAATGAGAATGATGAAATTAGGGGTGATTTTTATCTTCTTCTTTTTGCATATGTATATTTTATAATTTATCAGCAGAGAACATGTTTTACTTACATAATAAAAAGGCCCAAAAGAGAGAGAGAAAATCCACTTCCCTTTCTTATCTTAACGGAGGACCATGGGGGAGAAGAAAGGTTAAAATGAATCAAGTAGTAATAGAAGAACCTCTTGAAAAATATAAGCGATATATGTCCATGAAAACAAATCAACAATTAATTCCCATTTAAAGATTTTCTAGGGTTCCTGGGTGACTCAGTCAGTTAAGCGTCCGACTTCAGCTCAGGTCACGATCTGAGGTTTGTGAGTTTGAGGCCCGCGTCGGGCTCTGTGCTGACAGCTCAGAGCCTGGAGCCTGCTTCGGATTCTGTGTCTCCCCCTCTCTCTGCCCCTCCCATGCTCATGCTCTGTATCTCTCTGTCTCTCAATAATAAATAAACGTTAAAAAAATTTTTTTTTAAAAGATTCTTTCTTTGCCTGCCTCCTCTTCATATGTAATGGGCATAAATTCAAAAGATAGGAGGGAAATTACAGACTGTCATAGATTTTTAGAAGAGGACTCATATGGCTTTTTTTAGTTTTACTGTGAAAGATGGTTATTTGTTAGTATAAGTGAGGTACCTTTCCTTCCTAGGATGTGTCATGTAAGAAAATATGTCATTACATTCCATGTACACAGCTGATCTTTGAGCTGAACACTTCTTCCAGAAGGTAGAAGACCTCAGTGCCTTTGACTCTCCTATTGACTTCCACCTGAACCACTGTTTAACTGTGTGAACTTGGACAAGTTACTCAACATCCCTAACTTCCAAGATCCCCATCCATTAAAAGAGCGATAATGATACTATTCTTGTGGGACCATTGTGAGATTGGACATTTAGAGATGTTGGATGTGACATTTTTAAAAACAACTTGGCACACAGTAGGCTGTTAATGATGAAAAGTCCTTGCAGTTCACAGGTATATACGGACATGAGTAGTAAGGGAGACAAGAGCATAGGCCAAACTTCACGGAGTACCTTGCTGTGGGCGCCCCACCCCCACTGATGCCTCTGAAGTTATCCTACTTACAGAAGCAGGAACATCATCAAGCTGTCTTCCACCATGATTGGAAACAATGATGCCATTGACATTGTGTTTCACGGCTAACTCTGCATCCTCTTTTGTCAAGATCCCTTTAAGGATAATGGGCAATCGAGTTATGCTCTGAAGCCAGGAGAGATCATTCCAGGACATGGATGAGTTAATGGGAGACATCTGGAAATAGGGCATTGGAGTTCTCTGTGGGAAAGAAAAGAGAACTTTATGATTTTTTTAATTTTAATTTTTTTGAGAGAGAGTGAGAGGGTGTGTGCATGGGGGAGGAGCATAGAGAGGAGAACACAGAATCCAAAGCAGGCCCCAGGCTCTGAGCTGTCAGCACAAAGCCTAATGTGGGGCATGAACTCACGAACCAGGAGATCATGACCTGAGCTGACATAGGCCGTTTAACCGACTGAGCCATCCAGGTGCCCCGAAAGAAAAGAACTTTAGACCTGAGCTCCTTTAAGATTGTTTAATCCATTCCAAAATGAGGTGCAGTCAGATGGCTACCTTTCAAAGGCCTTAAAAGAGGAGCAACAGAATCAACAACACTTCCAACTCCTTTTCGTGACAAACTTTGTGCAAAAGAACTGCTATTTCAACTGCTTATTCATTAACCATTAATTGTGTCCCTGCTCAATAACTATGCCAGTATCTGTGGATACAAAGACAAACAAGACATAATCCCTACTTTAAAAGAACTGGAAATTATAGTAGTGAGGTGGATAAGCAAAAGCACGTTTTTTACTTGGCCATGTAACATGTTATGTTTGCGAGAGGCACAAGGTTATAAGAGCTAAGAAATACTTCAATTATCCTAAATCAGATACTACCTCATATTTAACCTTGGCTCGCCATGTAAATAAAATATCCATCAATCCCAATGTGTCTCTGGGATCTGAGATAAGGATTCCAGAAAACTCCAAGGCTAATTTGTGATGAATGAGTAGAACAGTTGACTCACTTGGCTGTGTGTCACAGCCATTCATTACCTGAAAAGGCTGGTGTCTTTATCTCTAATGAGCCAAGGCAACTCCAGTCTTACCATGATTTTCTCTCTCTGGGGCACTCCACTGCATCTGACATAAAGATTTTTTAAAAATGTTTATTTAATTTTGATAGAGAGAGAGAAAGAAAGAGAGAAAGAGGATCGCAAGCAGGCTCCACACTGTCAGTGAACAGCCCAATGCGGGGCTTTGAACCCAAGAACCATGAGAGCATGATCTGAGCTGAAACCAAAAGTCAGATGCTTAACCACCTGAGCCACCCATGCCCCACCTGTCTGTAGAATTTTAATGGGGAAGTGGCCTTTGCAGTCACCTATTTCAGAGATTCCAAACAAGTGTGCTTCTGCAGCTCCAGAAATGAGTTCCACACATAGAGATACTGACCTTTGGTTCTCAAGGCAGCAGGGTGGGGCCTGGGCTGGCTACACTCCATGGGCCAGTCACCCTGTCTGTGAGCATCCTCTTCAGGGGGTCAGTTAACCTAAATGTGCTACCCAAAATTATCATGTTCTTTTTTTAAATTATTATTTTAATGTTTATTTTTGAGAGGTGATGGAGGGGCAGAGAGAGAGGGAGACACAGAATCCAAAGCAAGACCCAGGCTCTGAGCTGTCAGCACAGAGCCTGATGTGAGGCTTGAACTCACAGACTGCGAGATCAAGACCTGAGCCAAAGTCAGACACTCAGCCAACTGAGCCACTCAGGCGCCCCCCACAGTATCATTTTCTAAGTGTCCCATAAAGTGGAAAATCTATGAGGAACTTATTTAATTTTCTCTCCTGTTCCAGGAAAAAGTCCTTTCCAATGCTTTCCTATTTCTTAGCACCGAGCCCTGGCCAGAGCACTCCTCTCTGGTGACAGGTTGAAAGCTCCAGCAGTGAAGACAATTTGTGTCATATTCTGTTTGCCCGGAAGCTCTGGACAACAGGAACTAGGTCTGCTTTTTGAATCGTGGCGCCTGCCGTGTCTGGCAAGAGCAGGCACTCAGTGAATTTTTGTGGAAAGAGAGAAGAGGAAGGTGGAGAGGAAATTTGCCTCCTGTAATGCCTGCGCGTCGAATCTGGTGACTTTCCTACCTCTTTAGGGAAGTGAAGGTCTTTGAGCAGTAAGGTCAGCTTTAAATCCAGTTGGTTTCGAATGTCATGTCGCCTGTTGCCCAGTTTGGGCACATCCACAGTGATGACCAGAGCTCTGAAACCCAGGGATTCAACTTTCTGGACCAGATTTTTGTTGAGCTGCCGGTCTGGATGCACATAGAGTTGAAACCACTTGAGGCCCGTGGGGGCAGTGGCAGCGATGTCTTCCAGGGCACAGGTAGCAAACATGCTGGTGACGTAGCCGACCCCGGCTGCTTGGGCTGCTGCAAAGCAAACGGGCAGGTCGGGTTAGAGGGCAGGATTCTGGACGGAGGTGAGAAGCCCTCGGAGTCTGTGCTGCCTCTGACTAGCTCCCCCTGACAATGAAGAGAAAGCTTGACTTCATTCTGCTTCCTGCTAAGGCAGGACAGATAGGAGGCATTGGATCAGGCTGGGAGTTCCAATCCTGTCTGGGTCCCCTGCTGTATAACCTGTCTTCCAAACCCTGTTGTCCATGGTCAATATTCCCAGAGTGCTCCTTAGTCCCCAGAACCACTTTGGACCTGCTGTGGCTTTCAGACAGGAGAATGGGTTGCCAGCGAACTTGTTAAGGAAGCAGAAGGGAACTAAGAGGACCAAGGCTGAGGAAATTCCAATGGGGAATGCTGAGATTCGTACTGGAAAAAGCATGCTATCCGAGTTAGAAGAACGTTGGTGTCTCTCCTTCTTAGCTGGATGACCTTGAGTCTTATTTTCTTCATCTGTATGGTGGGGGTGGGGGTGGGTGGGCATGCTAATAATCTCTCTTACAGGGTTGCTGGAATATTAAACAAGATACTAGATGTGGAAGCATTTTTAAAATTACTAAGCGATGTGCTGTACAAATGCTAGTGATCACGAGGTTGGCAGGGATGGTGGTGACAAAAATGGTGGCACTGCGGCAGATTTCTCATTTCCTACTTTAATCGTTGTTTTCAGGCAGATTCTCCAGCAGGTTAATGTCCCTACCATTCAGCAACCCAGAGGCAGAGAGTCTGGCCTCATCAAGATTTAATATTTTGGGGCACCTGGGTGGCTCAAGTTGGTTCAGGGGCCAACTCCCAAGTTCAACTCCGGTCATGATCTTAGGGTTGGTGAATTTGAGTCCCATGTTGGGCTCTGCGCTGACAGCTTGGAGCCTGCTTGGGATTCTCTTTCCTTCTCTCTGCCCTTTCCCACCCTCAAAATAACTAACTAACTAGCTTACTAACTTTGTAAAAAAAAGATTTAATAATTTCAATCCCTAATATCAACAGGAGATACCCCATTCTTTTGCCCCACTCTAAAAACACCACACGTTGAAGCAGGAAGAATTTGTAAAGCAGTCATAGTCCTGTGGGATATTCATATTTCAGCCTAGCCAGACTTGGTTCCTAACCAGACAGATGTCACCTGCTGCTCTAGAATCCTTGGATTCGTTACTTTCTATATCACAGAGTCAAAGAAAAGATCCCAGGGAGGCCCTGGGCAAACTGCAAATAAAATATTTCCTAGGTTTGACCTACAGTAAAGATTCTAAAGGGGTCATAAGACTATTTTTAGCCTCTCACCTCCCCTCTTCCTTCTCTTCTCTCTCTCTCTCTCTCTCTCTCTCTCTCTCTCTCTCTCTCACTCTGTCTCTCTTTTTGGTGGAGAGGGATGAGGGAAGAGAATAAGAGGCTCCTAGGAAGAAGACATACCCAGTAAAAGCCTTTTTGTCATATGAGATGATCAAGGAGAACGGAAACACAACATTGGGCAGAAGCGCCTGTCAGGGCTTTTGTTAGGATCTCATGTCACGAATCCCTCCTCATCCTAAATTCAGATTCACCAGTCAGCTCCAGCCCTAGCCCATGAGGGGTCAAAGAGAGCCCTATCTTTGAAGCCACAGTGAGAACCCCTTTCCCCACAGACTACAGGTGGCCTGTCCCCCTCCTTTGAAGGACAGTTTGCTTGATTTCCACAACCATTCATCCGTAGCCCCCTCTCTGACCACCCATTATTATGAAAATGGATGTTTTCTCAATCTTGGGTGAAATGTTATGCAAAAATAGCTTTAAGCATCCCTTTTTCACACCCTCCTTAAATCTGGCCAGATTGATGTCCCTGAACTCCTTCTAAGAGAAATCCTGCTACTGCTCTGAAGGACACTTGCATGCTTCTGGTCCCCACCCACTGGAAGGGAGCCTCAAGGTGTGGTTGTTTCATACCTCTGGCTGTGCTCATTTCTCCATCGGGCCAGACAAGGCAGTGGAAACCCGTGGGTGCAATGCAAATGGGGGCAGTGATCTCCTCCCCCTGGATTGTGGTCCGGGTGTCCACGTTTGCCACGTTTTTCAGGTACCGGGGACGGAGGCGGATTCTGTGCTCAGAGACAAAGAGTTTTCTATTGGTGGGGTTAAATGCAGGTGTTGCCCAGTGCTGGGCTCCAGATTCCCGTGCAGGTCTACACCAGACTGGAACCCGAGGAACCTCTGGTGGGATCAGTGGGCTGATTAGGCCACATAGACCAACTTTCCTCCAGAAAGCTTTTCCCAACACCTGGGCCCACATTTAACCCGCTTTCTCTAACCCCCCAGGGCACCTATGGTCCACAGTGCCTCTGGCCTTGCTCCAGCACCAGTCTGTGTCTTTGAGTTTTGCCTGTGTGAGAAGACTCTCAACACTTGGTTGCTTTGATCAATTTACCACAACAAGAGTTAGAAGGTAAAAGAATAAGCAGGAAGGAGTTCGAGGCTCTTCCCTCATCAAGCCTCTATAAACTAAGAAAAGGTCACCAAAGGAGGAAGAATCCCAGAGAATGACCATGGTGGAGGTTTTGTTTTGCTTGTTTCTATTTTTTTTTTTTTTTTTTTTTTGCTAGGGGCTAATTCATTTGAAGAATTGGCTTGACTACTTCTTTAGAAAAGGGTAGGGAAATTTGCAAATCATAAATATATAAAGTACACTTTTAAGTCCAATAGATACTTAGCCTCAGGGTCCAAAAATGCTGATTTCTCACCAAATATTATACACAAATGTAGAAAGGTTTTGCTAGAACTACCAATCGTACAAACTTGTGTTACTTTGTGAAATGGGAATGATAATCCAAATTTCATCATTGTCTCATGGAAGCAAAATGAAATAAAGCAAGGACAGGACCTCAGTATAGTACGAAACAAGTATGAAAATACAGTACATAGCGTTCATCTTGTATCCCATTTTTCTGTTTTCTCCTGACGTCTATTACAAGGGTCAGCAAACTTTTGCTATAAAAGGCCAGATAGTAAGTACTTTAGGTTTTGTGGACCATGCAGTCTGTCACAGTTATTCAGCTCTGCTGTTGTAATGCAAAAGCAGCCCTAGACAATACCTCAATGACAGATGTAAATTAAATGGTTGGTTCTAATAAAACTTTATTTATAAACACTGAAATTTGAATTTCATATAATTTTTACATGTAACAAATTATCATTCTTCTTTTGATTTTTTTGCAACCATTTAAAAATGGAAAACAAAAATTCTTAACTTGTGGACCGTCCAAAATTAGGTGGTGGGCCCGATGTGGCCTGTGGGCTGTTTCCTGCCCCGTGTTGTACCTGCTGCTGTTCCAGACCGGCTCTTTCCCCTTGAAATCAATGTCTTTCTACCCCCTAAGACTCTCTGGGTCTCCATGTTTCTTATGGCCTCTCTCCTGATGTACAGTCTCTCCTTCAAGCTGGAAGTTTAGGAACTCAGGAGATTTCGGCCTCCTGGCCCAGGTAGCTGATGACCCTGGAATCTTCTCCTATCTTGTTAGGTGGCAAAGTTTTTGGGATATAGAGGGAGAGTGACTCATGCTAGTTCTGCAGAGACACTAAGATAAGCACTCTCTCCATCCATCCTCTCCCCAGCCACGTGCCTGCACACACACACACACACACACATACACACACACACAGCGTGTAGCAAAGCCCAAAACAATAATAACAAAAAACATTAATATATCTTGAGCACTTGGTGTCCTCTGGAGGCAAAGAGAAGGGCTGCTCTTTCCAAGGGCCTCTCAACCAGTGCACCTTAACTTAACAATAGAAAGGATAAGAAGACCAGACCTCTTAAAGGCTGCGATGTTGTCATCCCGTGTGAAGGTGTCATCAGCTCCTCCTTCAATAAAATCCCAAGTTACCTTGGACAGACGCTCCCGGGCATAAGCCTGAAAGTCTGTCAAACATGCCAAGGGCATTTCTGAACCTTCAGAGGAAAAACCAAAGGCAAACAAAGACCCAGTCAGAATATGTCAAACGTAGAGGAGAAGGTGAATGGGGGGGGGAGGGGTCCCCTTGGCCTGGTGCTATTTAGATTCAATATTAACTCCCCCAGATTCCTTATTCCAATGGGAGTAACTGCCAAAGATGCAGCTCTCCATGCTTCCATCCCCTCACCCCTGTTCCCAGCTGCTGGTTGTCTGGCCTTCTAAATATCCCTCATATCTGTCCCCTCATCTCTACACCTGCCACCTCAGGTCCATTTGAGGCCCTGCTGTTTCTTGTAAGATTATTACAGAAATGTCTTATCTTTGTCTCCTAGCCTCCATATTCATTCTTTATCTTGTCTTCCTCCAGCTTCTAGGATCTTTCTGAAACGCAAGTCTGATCAAGTGCCCCTATGATGGAATTCATAGTTTTCTTGGACCAGCTCCTAACTGTCTCACCAACTTCATTTCTCCGTGGCTTTTCCCTGTCATCCAAGTCACTATGAGCATTTCCTGGATGTGCCCAAGGGCTGTTTCTGATCTGCGCCTTTGTGGGAGGAGATCCATCAGGCTGGGGAAAATTGGGGCTGAACTGATAACTACCACCTGGGAGTTCCCAGGCATCTCTGGGCGAATGAATTGTTTGGGGGCTCTGCTTGATATCATGGAGAGAGCTGACTGGTTTTGACTCCTTGGCTGGGTCATTGAACATGTTCACTTTGAGACCAAGAAAATAACCTATGTGACTTATATTCATCCTCACCTCCAATCTGAAGCAAACCTGGAGCTTGGTGCTTCTGATAAACCCCCCACCCACTGAAAGAGGAAAGAAGGTAGAGTTTGAAGATAAACTCCTCTAGGAGGGGCTAGGACAGTGGGAACTCTAGCTGCAGAGATGCTAAAAGCCCTGGTTGTGGTCAGGATCTCCTACATAAGAGGGTTCCAGTAGGAAAGGCTGAGAAATCTGTAGTTCATAGTCCTGGGTATCTCCCTGGCAGCTGGCAGTGGGTAAAAATGAGCCAAAGTCTGTGAGTAGAAACGGAATGGCTTTTACATCATTGACTGAGGGATAGGGATTACCTCCAGGAGCTAGGGCTTCAAACATGAATGAAGTCGGGGCGCCTGGGTGGCTTAGTCGGTTAAGCGTCCGACTTTGGCTTAGGTCATGATCTCACGGTTCGTGGGTTCAAGCCCCGCATCGGGCTCTGTGCTGACTGCCAGCTCAGAGCCTGGAGCCAATTTCAGAGTCTGTATCTCCCTCTCTCTCTGACCTCCCCTGCTCATGCTGTCTCTCTCTCTCTCCTAGAAATAAATAAAAAACAAAAACAAAAACAAAAAAACCCATGAAGGAAGTGGCTCCTCTAGTAGACAAGAGGGCCAAAGAGACCGGATGAAATGTAGAGTGTTGGAGATCCTGGTGGGGTGGGGATGGAGCAGAACTAGCTGCAGCAGAATCTAGTCAAGGCAAACAGAGAAGTCGCCCCAAACACCTACCCAAGGGGCTAAGCAGAAAGTGGTTATGGCAGACAGGAAACAAAAACCCTGCAGTGTGCAGTAGGTTCTGGATGGAGGCTAGCAGGAGGAATTTGGAGCACAGCCATTGAGCTTTTTATAAGCAACACACTTTATCGGGGGGGTGGGAGGTGGGGCAGGGAGCGATTGAGGTACTGAGTTGAGTTTGACAAAGCGCAGCCACCATATCTAATTATCTCATCCTTGTCCTACCCTTCAAAGACTCAGTGACTTTGGTCAAATGAATTAATCATTGTATTTGTCCATCTGTGCTGTGATCACTGATTTAAACCTCTCTGTGCACAACAGTTAATGTAGCAGGCTCCAGAATGCTATTCCTCGAAAGGCCTGATTGCAAAGCCGGGCCTTGGTTGGAATCTGGGAACTTGGATTTCAGGGAGGTTCCCAGTACTCCCTGACAAGAATGGCATGGTTCACAATGTCTAAATTGTACAATCAACACGGTTTATGCTGAACATCTGCTTTCTCTCTGAGAGTCTAGAGTTTTGGCATGAGACTGGCAGAGAGTGTCAATATGACCAGCCCCCAACAAAACGCTTTGGGCAATGAGTCTCCAAAATGAGCCTCCTGGTGGTCAATGCTTCACACATGTTGTCACAACTCACACTGGATGAAATAAGAGCACCCTCTGTAATTCCACTGGGAGCCAACTCTTGCAACCTTATCCCTGTTTCCCTCTAGATTTTGCCCCATGAGCCTTTTCTCCTTGCTAATTTTGCTTCTCACTCCTTCTCTGTAACTAATCATAGCCTCAACTACATGTTGTGGCCTATGGTACTTCCTAGTGAATCACTGGATTGGGATCAACCCCCCCACCCCCCAACATGCTTTGAATCCCCAGGCATTAGGATAGTATGTGACACAAATGTTCATTATTTGAATTTAACATTCCCCTGTCTGTCATCTCTCTGCCTTGTTGGATGAGAATTATCTACCAGGTTTCTACTCCTGATGTCTCAACAAATCCCCATATCCTATTCCCACACACTCACAGAAATGCTCTTCTGCAGCTTTCTAGTATAAAATCCCGACAACACTTGAGTCTAATCCAAGAGAAATGGCTCAGACTCACTCAGAATTACTTGCCTGGAATAGTGGGAATTAAAGCCTCTGGAGACTGCTTGGAAATTAAGAAATAACATAGCATCTTTATATATACCAAATACTTTATTTCTGTTTGCTGTTTCTTTTTCTATCTACTGTTTTCTTTCTACTTCCCTGTGAAGTAGATAGAGAAGGTATTAGTGTCTTTGTTTTGCATTTGAAGAGAATGAGGCCTAGGATATGGAGTAACTTCTGAAAGATCAGGCAGTAAATTATGACAAAGGAAGGCTCAGAGTCATATCTCCTGGTAGCCCCTAAAGATAGACAGTCTCCTTTTTTTGCTTTCATGGTACAGAGAAAAATAGTTGGTTCACATAAATCACTTGTTTTATTGAATTGAAAAGAATTTTGTAGGGTGAGATTTTTTATAGCTTAGTAAAGTACTGAGCCCATTATTTTTATTAGAGGTCCAATATAAGGCCTTTAGTTGAACAGAAGGACAATGTCATTGTTCAAAGCTTTCCCCAGATTTGGAAGAAAGACTTAGCCCTCTATGTTTTTATGTATCTCAGTTTGATCCATACCAGACTTAAAGCCACCAGGAATTCAAGGAGGATCCAAGTTATCTAATGGTTTTCTTGTATTCCCATTTTATTTGGTCGCCACTGCAGTATCTTTTCTTCTTTTCTCCTCTAGCGCAACGGCCCAAGAGGAAGAGAAAGTGGAGGAAAGCATAAAGAGGGTAAAAGTCTCTGGTGTTCTGACCAAGAACCTTAGCTCATTGTATATATCATGTAATTTCTTCAGGCTTTTTGTCGCCTGGTAAACAATCGTGAGGTACAACTAGTATAAGAGTCATGAGAAAGCTCAAATGTAAAAGCAAGGACATTCAGCAGTACCTGCTGCTAATGACACAAAGTTCAAATAGCTTTCCCTGAAAGGGGAAGAAAGAATGACATAGACTATAATCAGTAGGCATTTCAAGGCAGACCTTTTTCTTCTTCTTCTTCTTTTTTTTTTAAATTGCCATTTGATCTACAGTTAGGCTAGATAAACAAGTTGTCTTTCTTTGAAGATTTTATATGATTCATAATACATGTTGATGTCACTTGAGGAATCTGGGATATCAGAGCTTCTATTTGTGTGAGAAACTCCTAGATGTTCCTTTAAGAGAAATCTCAGGGCAGAATTCACAGGGCAGGTCATTGAGATATAAGAGGGGAGCAAAGGCTGCCTCTGAGGTCCCAGCTCCAGGTGCAAGTGCTTCATGCCGAAAGGTGGTGTCCTTCAAGGCCCTCTGGCTTGGTCCCCTGGGAACTTAAGCCAAGTTTTTCAATGGAGTGGTAGAGATAGCATCAAGGCTAACTTTGGAAACCTTGCCTGAGAGATTACACCATTCAAGGTTGGCTGCAAGTGCTTTAATCACTGTGTATGGTGTGACAGCCTCAAGGCGAGTGGCTACAAAGCCTACAGCCATCACCATAGCAACGGCAGCCCTTGGAGGGGAGTGGCAAGAAGAGGCCCTGGTAGTGGAATGTGTGGTGGCAATGGGAAGGGGGAGCACAGGCTGGGGCCACAGCCAATGTCAGGACCAGAGATGACATGAATTAGCAATGCCAGTTCTGAGGTTCTGAGGCACATGAGCCCCCAGGGAGTCCTCCAAATGGGAAGGAAAGGTCGGGTATAGGAGTTGGAATTCAGGCATATCTGGTCAAGATAGCAGAGTGTCCCTAACACTGGAGGGGCCTAAGGAACCAAGGATTATATCTGCGTGGGAGCGAGGGAACAAGGGGTCGAGTGTGGGTCTGACAGACGCCAGCCTTGTCGTTTCCATCAGCCCAGGATCAGTTCTGGCCTTTCCCCAGAGCCCTCACACAGCATGACTTGAGGACTCAGGACCCCTTCCAGGCCATGGTGGCCACTTTTTGCTTTGTTTTATTCTGTTTTGTGTCATAATCATCTCTCCTCTTCAGCCTACCGGCCCACAACCACTCCCATTAGCCGGTCTTGCTTTTCAGCAGTTCATCTTCTCTTGGCCTCTAATCATGTTCTACCTTGAGGAGTAGAATGTTGAGGTTCTTCAGAACCAATTCTGCAGGAATGATGGGGAATGATGCCTGTCTTTGTTTCACCCCAGCAGCTTTGTGTAGCAGGAGCTGAAGGAGTTTTTGAGGTTCTGAGGGGAAGCACATTTATATTAGGGATATGCTCAGCCCGGAGCTATTGTCACCTAATTAGGTCATTAGCGACTCACTTGGCCCACCTCCCCAGGCCACAAGGACCACATCCTGCCTGGTGAGGATTAGAAGACAGTTAGAGCCGAGAGGGACTTCCGAGGCAGGGAGAGATGTGCTTACACCAGAGCAGAATGAATTGGTGAAAACTGAATTGAAAAAGAACCTAGGTCTCCTAGACGCAGC